TTTTCAATGCTTTGAGCACTGACAAAAAACTCCAAACAAATCAAACATGTTTTTAAATGCTTGCTAACAAAAGTAAAGAACATTTTGTCTTAACACACAGGTAAATTGTATTGTTTTCTAATATCACTGAAAGATTAAATTTTACTCCATTTCATTTGCAGGTAATCAAAATATTTAAAACAGAAAATGCATGGTAGGAAATGGAGTATATCAGGTACCACCCACTGTCCTCTCAGAAAGCATTAGCAACTATATTCCAGTCTTACAATGAAAGTACTTTGTGGCTGTGTGGTTTTCTGTTGTTTTGGGTTTTTTTTAAAGCATACTAAGGAACAAGAAGAGTGGTCTTTTAAGGTCTCTCCTTGGGCTCCATAACTCTGTAATCAGTTCCAATGAAATGTCCTCAAGCTTGGTGGATCAGCATCACTGACAGCCTGGTCAGCTTCCCCTACTGTCCAGGGCTCCCTTTCCTGTTCACATACTGGTCCACAGAGCACCTGGAGCAATACTGATGCACATGTAATTTACTTTCTGCAACCAAACCCCATTAAGATATTCTGCCCAAAGCTTTTCCACTGGCCACACTAAGCCACAATGCTGTATCTTCTTTTCCTCAGTGGGTAAGTAAGTGACAGACTGGGTACCCTCAAAGTCACTATTTTTGCCTTTGAATACCACCAAATTTTTTGTGCTGCTCCTTGAAAAATTTCATGATCTTACAGGTGTAAACTCACTCATTTCTCCCAGCAATCCCATGTAATGGTAGTGAAATTTCCCCTGTTATCCACCAATACTCAATAACAAGGTCACATATCCCGCTTGGGAGAGTTCTGGTGAGGGAGAAAGGACAAGGAAAATGACACAGGAAAACTAAATGCTTCTCCCAGTCCAATACCACTTCAAGGACTCTACTGCTTCAAGTCCACTCAGTCACACCAAGTGCAAGACACACACCTGCATGCCCTGAGCAAAGACACCTTCAGAGATTTCCCCACCTCAAATCACACTTACTTTATTATTGCCAGTGTGGACTTGGTAACATTTATAATCCCAGCACCTCTGTTAAGTACTTGTGTAATTGTCATTCCACAGCTAAAAGATGAAGAAAACAATCTTTTCCCTTAGCACTGCATATACCATGCCAGGGAGATGCACCCAGCAGGGAACCATCTGCCTGCCCTGGTGGTATTTCTTTGTTCCGAACACCATCAATGACATTTCACTGTTACAAAGTGAAAAAACCCAGGAGCTGAGACTAAGCAAGTATGGTGGAAGACACATACCAGAATGCCCAAGTGCAAGGTGGGAAGTTTAGGCAGAGGAGGTTTGAACTCTTAGCTCATGTTACACATTTCAAGGACGTGCCTTGTCCCTGTTTGTGCCAGCAACATCTACTCCTGGACACACAGTCCAGGTCCTCTGCCACTATGTTGTCTTGCAGGTTATCAACTAAGCAGCCCACCACCCAGTATCAGCACACTTTACTGCCCACTACCCTCATGTAACCTCAAATTTGGGGGTAACAGAAGGCATTTATGGACACTGAGTATCAGCAATGCAGATGGTGCTTATATTAAAAGCACTTACACTGCAGCCAGTGTAAGCAATGTAGCTGTTTTTAAACAACTGCTCCTGACTTCAGATCATTAGGACTGCCATTTGAAGTGGCAGGTGGAAACTTCTACATCTGCTGATGCAGGTTCAGATAAAATGTTCACATTGCATGGTTCAGAAAATTAAAAAAAAAATCTGGAAACTGAATATGATCCAGGTTTAGCTTTGAACAGAATAAATAAAAAGCTACCTAAGTTTTGTGCAAAGGATTTTATGGTCGCAAATGTTTGCAAATAAAAATTTAAAGAAAACACTTCGGTGTTTTTATGTAAACATTCCCCTGCTGCCTTGGAAATACTGACACAGCAACAGTGCACTGAGATGTTGCAGAAAATAAAGTATTCTTTAAAGTAAAGAAAGAGCTACAGACCACCAATAAAGGTAAAAGTAATTATTGATTATTTCAAGTTTACAAATAGTAAGATATTGTAAACATGTTCCTGCTATTCAAATCTCTGCTGCTCTTTAGCTGATTTTCCAGTAAACTGCACTAATACCAAGTGGTTTTGATGACAATTCCCAGGTGAAGAAAAAAAAAATCTTGGACCCAGAAGATTTTATGGATCAAAGTGTCCTTTATTGGGTTTGGCTGAGGCATGCTAAACTTCATGATAGAGTAAAAACCAAACCTGGATACCAAAGCAAGAGGGGAAAATAAGATCTTTATCGTTTCTCCAGCCAAGTTTTCAGAGACAATCTCTTCTTGGGAAGAGTTGCCAAAAGCACTCCCACAGACACTATCAACAGTTGCAGTCCCTGTTAAGCCTATGACCTGAAAAGAAGTTTGCTAACTTCACCAGGCAACAAATTTCCACCAACACCAAGGCTGTTAGAAGTGAGTCACATCCCTTCCCCCAGTGGTTACAACAGTCTCTGGGGCTTTTGGGTTTGATTTTATCAGAGGAGTGGACAGAAAAAAATGCTGCCAATGCCACTGACTTCTCAAAACCACACAAGCCTTGCAGGTAGCTGGGGAGCCTCCTGTGTGCTCTGCACTCAGCCACACTTAGACACTGTCTGACTCCATGCTAGACCACGCAACCTGGCAGAACTACCCACAGGGAGCAAAAGGCTCCGTACATACGGACAGGCTGATCAGACGCTGCCCTCAGATGTCTGCTGTGCTCACCAGATTTTTATAAAGAAGATAACCAAGATGGTAAGATGATTCAAGACAGCAGGAGATGGAAAAGTAATGTTTGAAGCTTAAATTGGAAGTCACACTGAGAAGATCTCATCAGAGATCGGAAGTAATTTTGCTCAGCTGCAGGTGCAACAGCCTACCTCACATGCAAAACATTCTGCTGTCATCTTATCTTTAAAGACACATCATTGTACTAATAAGGTCAGAAGAGTAGTAACAGCCTTGTCTTTTCAGATGCTTCAAATACCTCAAACTGAACTGCTGCACACAGGTGGGAGTTAGAAATCCCATTTGACTCCACTTCTGCTACAGCTCAACTCTGAACTCCCCAAGCATGTCAACTTACTGGAAGAACTATGTATTTTAGTCTTATCTCTACATTGCCACTTTTGTGCTGTCAGAATAATACTGACAGTTTCTATTTGTTCTTTGCCATAACAATGCATATAAATCCAGCACATGAAAAAGCATATCTGTGAGGAAAAAAAAAGCTATCCTGCTAGAAATCCCTAAAAATAAACTTACTTGAAATTACTCCTCAAAAGTATGTTCCTTAATTCTAGTTAACTGAGAAAAAACTGTTTTTCCATAAGCTGCTGGTCCTCCCATACAAATCAATTCCCACACACTTCACAAATATTTCCAACTGGAAATTCCAAAAGTCTTAGTGAAAAGCTTTGCAGCACCTTTGAAATGCTCAAAATCTTTTGAGCAAAGCATAAGAAATTGCACCTATACCAAAGACATCCCCCATCTATGAAATAGGACTTAGAGAAATAGTATTTGTAGAAAAATAACTCCTTATTTAAAACTGGTTTCCACTGCAGACCACAGTTACTCTGAGAGTAACAGAATCATGGTTCAATCCCAAGCCTCTCTCCAAGTGTGTGCCCTATCCTCACGCAGCACTTAGTTAAAGGGCTATCCCCAGTGCCAAGGATAGAGGCAAACCCATACAGTAACTTAACTGCTGAAATTTGAAGAAACCCCTTCAAGTCCAACATTGGAATGAGAAACTAGTGTAGAAGGAAATTTCCTGCAGCATCTTACAGAACAGCAATGAGAGGCAAAGCACACACACTACAATAAACCCTAATGCAAGGATGCACAAATACCACAGAGAAATTACAGGGTAGCTCAGAGTGAGGAAAAACAGCAAAGAGGGGAGGAGGGCCCATATGTTGCAAAAACTATCACTGCCAATAACATGAAACACAACTTCTTTATGAAAGCAGGCAGTGACTTTAAAGCAGCCACTGACACTGGAGAGCAAGGTAGAGCTCTGGCAATTCTCTACAGCAGATATGAAAGACACGGTGGTCCAACCCAGAACCAGCAACAACCAGGAGACTGGGCGGTGACAGTGCCAGGAAGGGCACCAGACTGTATGAAAGCTGGAGAGAGTAACAAACAAACCCCAAACATTCTTGGCAGAAGGACTCAGCAAAGAACATTAGGAAGTGTTTTAGACTCCAGCTGGCTATGCTGCTTTCAAAGCGGACACAAAAAACAAAACTTGCTGCTTTGCTGCTGTGAGTCTGTAGGTTAAAACCCACTCTTGTATAATTCATCAGGGAGACAGACGAGACCAGTTTTTGCTCACTCTTCCTCACTCCACATTAACCTCTTCCCAGACCTCTCCCTAAATCCTGACACTACAGCACTTGCTCAGGCAGAGATGCCTGCAGTGATGGAGCAGCCATGTGGTTCATGTAGCAATGATGGTAACAAACACAGCACAGACCAGCGAGTAACCAAGTCCTGATTTCTTAAAACAGGAGGGCAAGGGAAAAACAGCATGAGTGATCAGATGACTGAGCATAAGGCCCTCCTTGAAAACAAAAACTACTTTTGTAATGTGCAAAGTGCTCTATATCCTACTGTATCAAATACAGCAATCTCAGCATTCAGTAGATCAGTTTCAGTTTGGAGGCCATTAAGATACTGGTATTTTAGTACAGAAGCTATTTCATTTTCAAGGCCCAATATGTGCTATCACTGTCTCAAAAACTGGCAGACGAACAAGCTACGACAACTACAGCTACATTATGAAGTCTTTATGCAAAATATTGGAAGAAAATTCCAAAGGCTAATTAATTTTCACTTGTTAATTAAAATTCAGTTGTACTTTAATAACTGAAAACCAGAATTTGTGTAAAAAGTCAGGTGATAAAAAAAGTGAATACAAAAGCGAAGTGGCAATACAAGAACAAGGGAGGAAAAAACCCGGTAAGATTAAGAATAGCATTTAAATATAAAAATTTATTTAGGTGAAGTCACAAACAGTTTAATATCAATTTACAAACACTTTATGTTATGCATATTATTGGAAATATTGAGAAAGGGAGAGGACATAAGGGCAGCTTTTTCCTGAAACAACTAAAGACAAACCCTTACCATCATGCGCATTACTGGATCATAGTATTACCTTGACCATAACCTTTAGTATGCAAGGAAAAAGAAGAAAACAAAATACTGAGATGCAGAATGCAAACTGTGAATCAGTGAAAAATATTTTCATGAACACCAGACTACAAAGGTCTAGTCTGATGGTCAAGATTTTAAGCATTCTACTAGGATAAAAACAAATTATAACTTAGGTGAATCATTATAATTTATGAAGAATTTTGTAATGCACAATCGGGCTACCTGACAATGACAGCAATGGTTAATGCAGAACAATGGAAAGAGGATAGTGAGCCTCACAGAATAATTCTGTTGACAACCTGAGTTATTATCCCGAGTGTATGATACTTTTCTGAGTCAAATACACATTTACGTTGCAGATACTCTCAATGAAATGGCAAAAGTAACAGCTGTAACAAGACAAGTTATGATTTATTTTTTTTTAAACAAATATAATACACAGGGTTTTGAAGTGTCCGGTTGTGATCTGCAAAGATCCAGGATTGCACACAAGTTTGGTCAAATGAGAAGGTTTAATCTGCGCATTAAATTGGCTTTTACTTTCAAAGTAGTATTTTAGGGCAGGATTCTCCTCCGGGAGAGTGTTCCTGACCTCATTCAACCAGTGTTCAATTTATTCACCTTCCTGAATCTTTGCCCTCTTTGGATAGTCTGTGACAAGTGCTGCGCTGCAGGAATTCCTGTTTTCCAGCAAACTGGCTTGCTCTGCAGGTTTGTAGTCCATTGTTACAATTGCTGATTGGGTAAAATGAATTTCCTACGTCTTCTCTAGCACAGCTTGCAACGCAACAGAAGCAGAGGTAAAAGAATGCACTAGAATACCAGAGCTCCACTTAAACACCAACGGAGTCAGGCTGTTGGCACCAATAAGAAATTCTGTATTTAACAAATCTGAAAATATTTAAGATCCAAAGGTATTTAGTTTTATAAATAAACTCACCCACTTAGTCTGACTCCCATCCCAACTGGTCTTCTGTTTTCATGGAGTCTGAGGAAAAAAAAAGAGTTGTATGAAGTTATACACACATACATAAATTTGCAGGAATGACTCTCAGCTATCCTACACACACAGTGCCAATTATCACACTCAGACTAAAACTAGGATTTCTCATTTTGTTTTTTCCACGTAATGCAAAGTTACAGCTCTTCACCAGTGCCTTAGAAAGGCCAGCTGTGCTCATACACAATGCTTTCTACATTTTGACTTAATTTTTACTGTTTAACCATCTGTGGAAATGCAGAATTAGAGATACAGGCACTAAACTAAATGATGCTGAAATTCAAGGAGACTTGGACTAAAAGGAGGAACGAAATCAGGCTGCCTAACCCTATCCTTTGAAACTACAAAAAGAAAATAATTTCAAAACAACAGCCCGGTAAAATGTTTTCGTAAAACACCTCTGCTTTCTCTTGACAGTGTGAATGTGGAAAAGCTTAGGTTCTGTCCAAACTCTTAAGCCCATAAAAGGCTATTCTCTCCCATTTTAATTCTCCAGTTCTTTTGCCCAAGTGTGATGTCACATTTTATTTTGCTGAAGTAGTTTTACACAACATAAAGAGAGCTTGCAAGTAACTGGGGAGATATGGGGAAACACACAGGTCACCTCCAAGAAAATATTTCCTTGCTGCAGCCTTACCAATGATAAACTCAAGCTTTATCCTAGGCCTCATCTACATTTGACAGCTGCCTAAACCATCATTTAAGGACATTTTTGAACAGTTATAAGAGACTATATGCTACCAATTAAAAGCTGCTCTAATAACAGAAAGGTGGCTGAAACCACAACAACTAATTGCACAAGTTTTACTTTTTCATTGTGCTGTTAAAGTACTACTCATTTTACAAACATTAGACTTCTGATATTTTGTAAGAATTAAAATAAACGTGTTTATTTTTTTTCTTTACACACTTTCTGGGGGAAAAATACATCAATGCTACCGATAAAAATCAACCAAGAAATTTCCATGAAATCAAATGGATCGAGACCCCCTGGTGCCTCAGCAGACAACAGAACAAAGCTCAGCACTGACAGACCAGCTGCTGTTGAAGAAGTTAAAAGAGTGGTTAACATGACAAGCTGAAGGTCCAGTCTGAGATGAGATGAAAGCTATAAGCCATTACCCATCTGGTGCTCACATAAGATCTGTAGGAAAACAAGAACTGAGCTGTTCACCTTGAGAATAGAGAAATGTAAACAGACATATCAGAAAAAGTTGCAGAACACAGAGCATCAACCACGGAAGGTACAAGGCCAACAGGCCTGGGTTTATCTATCTTACTGCGTGGTGTTTGCTCCCTTTCTTTGTCACAGATTGGCCTACAGAAGTTACTTTTGATAGGTACCAAAGGCAAGACTTGGTGTGATACACCAAGCACTTTCAGATGCCTTGAAAAGGGACAAGGCTAACATGAGTCAAAGAACTTAGTCCCTCTGTGCTGGCAATCCCAGACAAGCAAAGCATCCGATAAAACAACAATTCTTCTGGAAGGCAAAGGTTCTTTCTACAGTTGTAAAAAAAATTGATTAAAAATAAACATAGCCAATATAACAGAATCTGTCACCATTCAGCTGAATTTTCTGTGCTGGGGATTTGGCAGACTGCAGCCACCAGCGTAAGAGAAGCAGCATCACCCCTAATATAGACAGGAAGCCTGCTGTAGCTGTGGAGCTCAGCATCATGTCTCAGGCAGAAGAAAGGGTAGAACCTGCCTGCATCCACCACAGATTATACCAATTCATATAGTGATACCTCTACTGAAAGCAAACCAAGTACACAAAATCCTCCCTACCTCTCCTAATCACACTCATCATCTTTTCCCAGCTCTAACAGGCTCTAACTTGTAGATTAAATTTAGTGAGCCCCAAAACAGGTTTAGTCTTCAAATCATGGTGAATTTGCACACTGTGGCCATTCTTATTGAAGTTTATCTTTATTCATATCAATTTTTTGCCATACCATGCTGCCTGCAACTGCCCACATGCTCCCATAGTAACAGGAGAGTCTGTACTCTTTGCCTTACATACAGATAACTATTGCTGAGAAAGTTGATTTTTTAAAACTTGGAGGAAAAGAACAAAACCACAGAACATCTTTCTTCTAATGTCTCCAGGAAAATGCGAAAATACACCAAAAGAAGGAACCAGTGGGGTTCCTATTTTCTGGTGGCTGGAGCAATAAATGCCCAAACATTTGCTCAGAGCATCCATCCACGTGTACACCTCTCACAGTGGCCAGAAGGGCACCCATGATACCGTGTCCCTATGGTCAACACGAGCAAAGGGTCAGTGCCATGAGATGAGAGCTGCCGACCAAGACAAGGGCACCCCAACTGGCCCTGTCTCCTCTTCCCATCCGAGGGAGCACCATGCCCAGCCAGCGGAGCAGAGCAACGCGCGGCCATCGGCCCATCACACCTGGCTTTTCTCCTCCTGCTTGGGGCTCTGGCCCGGCGGTGGTGGCTGGGCCGGCGAGGCCTGTGTCTCGCTCTCAGCACGCAGGCGCCTGGGGACAAGCGACTTGAGGGGCGCCATCCACTTCATCCACAGGTCCAAGTCGACGTCGCCCCAGGGCAGTGAGGGATTCTTGGCCGCCCGCCGCCGGAAGTCCTCATCGTAGTTCATCCAGGAGGTGCCCCCGTAGGTGGCGTGCAGCTTGCGGATGGTGTCCAGGTACTTGAACATGGCTCCGCAGCGCGCCGGGTGCTTCTCGCACAGCACGCTGGCGTACACCAGGAAGGCCGAGACCCACTGGTCCAGCGTGTCCCCCGGGCGCGGGCCGTGCTCGGGGGCCAGCTCTGTGTGGAGCAAGGAAAAGAGGTCAATGAACTCCCCCCGCCAGATCCGCTCCTTGGTGGCCTTGGCCAACTTGTAGCCAAGCGGCCGCCGCAGCCCCACGTAGGGGGTGGCCGCCGCCTCGGCCTCGCCCTGCCCCGCCGCCGCCGGAGCCGCCGCCGGAGCTGCAGCAGCGAGGGCGCAGCCCAGGGCGGGGAGCCGCCCCTAGGCCCGGCCGCCGCCGCCAGCGCCTCTAGGCCCGGGAGGCCGAGCCGCGAGCCGGGCGCCACCGCGCCGAGCACCCATCGGGTCTCGGCGATCCCGGCGCGGTCCCGGGGGCTCCGCGACCTCCCCTCCTCGCGGCGGCCGGCGAGCGCCGTCCCCAGCGTTAGCGGGGCCGCGACTCCGGCCCGGCGGCGGCGGCGGCTCCGCCGCCTCCCACGTGGCATCGGCACGGCGGCTCCGGGGCGGGGCCCGAGCCGATTCCCCGCCCCCGGGCGGCCCCGGCCCCGCCCCCGCGGCTCGGCGATCCCCGGGACATTCCGGTGGTTTGTCCGCGCGGCGCTGAAACGCCTGGATGGGAGCACAGAGAGCGTAACGCTCACTCTCGCTCTCTCTCTCCAAAAATAACCCCCAACACCGGTGTGTGTATACATATATGTACATCGAAAGGTACATATGTATATGCACACGCATTTACAAATATGTACACCACATTTAGTTATATATACCATATGCTACATAATAGATTTGCACGCTGTATATATAACTTCTGTAAGGATATACAGTAGGCGCCCCGATGCCATTATTATTGCTTCAGTATAGCAAACGTTTTGAGGAGTAATGGCATTACATTGCTTCTCCCAGTATAAATAAGCCTCTTTTTCTCTTTACAGAAAATAGCTTTTTTTTGGTTGGTTTGGTTTGGTTTGGTTTGGTTTTTTTGGGGACTGTCACACACATTCCACTTTCCTAGCTAAGCACTGAGTAGGTCACCAGCTGGGTGAAGGTTGAACCCCACTGGAGTAAAAGCTGGGTGCTGGCTCCTTGTGTGGACTTATTGCACCCCACTCCACACACTTATGTAGCACACTCTTCTGGAGGAGCAGCCCTGAGTGCTGTGCTGAAATGTTTCTAGATCAATTCCACTGCACTAAAGACAAAAGTTCTGTAAAAAAACCCAAACAACAGTTCTTTCATTTTCACAGAAAGACTGGAAGAGATACATTTTAGATAAAAGTCTTTTGTCCAAAAAAATCAAATCTGAGGAATTACAAAGTTAAGAATTCTTCTGTAAGAAAAAAAAGTAAGGTAAAAGAGTGGCTTTGGGTTTTTTTTTTTTTTTTTTTCTTTTTTTTTTTTTTAATGCTTAATACATTCATAAAGAAATAATTAGAGTAATAAAAATTTACTATTTTCCAAATCACCCTTACATTCAGGGATTTTTCACAAGTCTGAACAAAAAGGCTTTATTTAATTCTTGAGATGAATACACTCTCATTTTGATAATTTTTTTTTTTAATTCAACCAAAACAGGTGACAGTATCTCCTTTCAGTTTCAGTTTAATGGGGCATTGATAAAACCAGACATTTTAAAAATAACAATAAGACCATAGTTTCTCTAAAACTTACGCAAGTAAAATGCTTGTTATTAAGTCAGGTGATAGGCATTTACACAAAGTCTCTGAAAATTTTCTGAAGGTTAAGGTTTCCTTGACTTTGTTTCAAAATTAGTATTTGTTTAGAATCAGAAAGTGATTCAAGTTGGAGGGAACCTCGAGAGGTTCATACTCCAACCTCCTAGTCACAGAAGGGCAAAAACTAAACTATGACAAGATTGCTTAGTGCCTTCTGCCGTTAGATCTTGAAAACTAACAGTGATAGGGATTCCACAGCCTGTTCCAGTACTGATGATTACCCTTGGTAAATCCATGCTGGGTCTTTCCAGTCACATTTTTCTCCTCTATGTGCCCAGAAATGGCTTCCAAGAGAACTTTTGTGATTTTCCTGAAGTGAAGCCACCAGCCTGTAGCAGCTTGGGTAGTCCTTGCTCTTTTTGAAGACAGGTGCAACATTTAGCCTTCTCCAAGCCATTAGGTACTTCTCCAAATTTTGATAGCCTTTCAAATATAAAAAGTGGCCTTCCAGTGACATTATCCAGCTCTTTGAGCACTCTCAGATTTATCCCCACTGATTCCTGAGACTTGATTGGGCTGTGACTCCTCAAGAAAAGATCCATGACTTGGTCCTTTTCCCCTATTCACAGTTTTTTTCACCTTGAGGCACAAAGGGTTGGGAGACTTTGTTGGTAAAGGTCAAGTCAATGAAGGCATAAACAGAAATCATTCTGTGTCACTTCTACAGGCTTTTTAAATACCTCCAGGGACAGTGTCTCCACCACTTCCTTGGGCAGCCTGTTCTAGTGATTTGTCTCAGAAAGGAAGGGCTAGCAGCATCAGATCAACTAGTATTATCTCACTAATCCTCTGCAGATATAGCTGCCCAGACAGTATCTTGTGGCTGGAAGTTATCAGTAAAATTTGGGAATTAGGACTGTGTTTTTGTCCTGTGCTTGTACCATGCCCACTAGATCTCAAGCCTATTTCAGGATGGTGATGCCAGGTCTCACAATAATGCAGTTCATAGAGATAATGAACAGAAACTTCAAAAATAATCAGTAATTTCCTGTTACCCCTGAAAGATGCAGACAGCAGCTAAGACCAGTAGCAAAGTTTTCTACATGGAGCATCTCTATACATATGATGCATTTACTCTTTGAATTGCAGCTCTGATCCTCCAGGTCTCTGCCTCATGAAAACTACAATTTTTCATGGAGTCTTTCATGAAGAAAACCAGCTGGGCAATAATTAATACCTGGGCTGAGGCAGGTGGAAATAAGAATGCTTTGCCTCCACTACATTTAGAGCTGCTACTTGTAAGCTGACGTATGCTCCTAACTATGCACTTATCTGATGGTTTCAGTCTCCTTTCACAGGCTGTGTGTGCAGCGTGTAAGGATCTGAATCACAAACTTGGGGGTTTGCCTGCTGGCAACCGGCTGTGCCAAGAGTGTCAGCTCTTCAAAGTGGGCAGGGCACCTCACAGAGAGTGGCGGGAACTGTTTCTGGTGAATTTTGGAGGCAAATGTGATTGTCCTCTCTACTCCTCATGGGATGAGTTCCTTACAGCTCTGAATTTCCCTCTCTGCCTTTTTCCTCATGTCTTCCTGTCCCTTCATGTTCCCATTATGTTTGTACAGGACAAAAAGAGCAAATACTTGGAGCTAAACGTACATATATTTGTATTGCAGATGTGTCTCTCAACTAAGTTGCTAGAATAGGCTCAGAACTGCAAAAACAAATGCAGATTGTTTTATGCTTCAGACCTTCCTTTTAGACTCAAGCATGAGACCTTATTGAAGGCATTAATGAGGAGGCAAAATGAAATGAAGCTTTAAACAGAAACAGCTGCAACCTTAGCTGTGGAGGAACTTGGAATTAGGCAATAGGACAGTTTATGAAAATAAGAGGGGAAAACTACTTTGCAGACCAAAAAAAAAAAAAAAAAAATCTCGTTTGTAAACATTACCTAAAAGCAGAATCCCTTTGAAAGTGGATGTACTTGTCTGCTGTTGCTGTTTATGAACCTTAAATAAAGCCAGAGAGGAGAGAACTGTCAATAGAATTATTGATGAAACCAGAAAGTGCTGCCATAGAGCATTTACCTGCATTGGCTCCAGGGCCCCAGAGAGGACAACACAACCCCGCACTAGGGTTTGAGGAGAAAATGCAGCATGAGGAGAAAATAACCCTTGTGTCATGCTAAAGCACTTTTTTTCCCCCCCCACAAAATAACCAGTCTTTTTCTAGGCAAATTTTCTAAGAGCTGCCTGCAATGGTTTTGGGAAGACTGGGGGTTTGTGGAGCTGGTGAGTTTTCAAGTCAAAAGAAGGATGCTTAGGCCCCATGGAATCAGAAGTCTCATCTGAGACCTGGAAGGTTTGCGATTTGCACAGGGGTTATCCTTGGGCATTGTCCACTTACTCCATAAATAAAAGTATAGGTCAGGAAGAAAAACAGGATTTGGTGCTGTGTGTTTTGCTTTCCAACTTGAAAAATTTAGTGGCTGTAGCATTCACTGACACAATAGCAACAGAATCAAACCCATCCATGAAGCTAAAGGTTCCTTAATAAAGTTTAAATTCTACGTAAATGATGGTGTTGGAGATCCAGGAAAAACCTCACAAGCATGGCTGCTGAACTCCCACAGTGAGTTGAGGAGGACTGTTAATAATCCCAGCTAGGAGAAGCGACAGGAGTCAGATTCTGCAGCTGAAGGGCTGCTTCCTTCACTCCAGGTGAGGAAGGAGCTGGCTGCCTTCACGATGCTGCATGATATTGTCCCTCTCTGTGCATTCCGTTTCTGCATTTCTTTACAATTTTGCTTTCCCCAAGTTTATTCTGTCTCTCTGGTAAATGTTTCCTTGCCTATGTTTGGAGTGGGAACAGAGAAAGTCTCAATGGAAGATAAACATGTTCAGTTACTTGTCCTGAGGAGGCTTAGCTTTACTAGTCCCACTCCTTTCCTTTCCTGCGGCAGTGAGGTGCTCAGCAGACGAGTTACAGTCTCGGTGACCGATGCTGCCTGTGGGGCTCACGTCCACGTGCCCTCAAAGTAGGTGTTTCAGAGGACGGCAAGAGAGACGAGGGCCAGAACACAGTTACAAGTCGAGCTCTGTTGAAGACCCTGTCCTGTGTACTGCACAATGTGAGTATCCTGCTTATTGCTGGAAGGTTTTTCTGAAGACATCATCTCTGCCCGACACAACCGGGCTGGGGCGGACGGGGGTTCCGTAAGCAGCAGCCGGGGTCGGAGTGGGACGCGGCGCAGGGCTCAGAAGCGTCACACCGAGGCTTGGCTGACCTCGCGAACGATCGTTCCGGAGAACAGCTGTCCGCCGCTACTCGATCCCTCCCCAAAACGCAACTGCACCGTCCCGGAGCGGCAGCGCTGGGGACCGACAGCGCCGGTGCCCGCGCAGCCCGGCGGGGCTGCCTCCCTCGTGTCCCCGACGTGGGCGTCCCGCGGCGACAGCGAGGTGCAGGCGACACCGGGAGCGGCTCTTCCAGCCCCTTGTGGGGAGGCAGCCCCGTGTGGGGAGGCAGACGGGCCCCGCCACCGCTGGACCGACCGGGTGTGTGTGTGGGGCGGCCCGCGACTCCCCTGCGCATCGCGGCCGAGGGGGGAGTGACTCTGGCAGCCTGCGGCGAGCCCAGATAAAAGCTCCGCTGCTGCCGTTTTCCCTCCCCTTTTCTCTCGTAACTTTTTTTTTTTTTTTTCCCTCCCTCTCCCTCCCAGCAAAGTGACGCTCCAGCCGGCAGCCCCGGAGCAGCCCCAGCGCCGGACGCCGCCATGAGCCCCGCGGTGCCGCCGTCGGGCCGCGCTGCCGGGGGCTGAGCCCGGCCGTGGGGGACGCCCCAGGGCCGCTCCGCGCCGCCCTGGCGGGGGCAGGAGGCAGAGGCAGCGAGCGCCCAGGCAGGACCCCCGGCCGCCCCGCCGTGCCCGGGGCAGCGCCCGCCGCGATGTCGGCGCAGAGCCTGCTGAGCAGCGTCTTCTCCTGCTCCTCCCCGGCCGCCGCCGCCCCCGCCGCAGCCAAGAGCCTCTCC